AAAAAAAAAATATATATATATATATATATAGTTTGGGGTGGTTGGGGGGGGGGGGAATTAAGGGGTTGTAAATTAGAGTATAATGTTGACAAAGGATGGGGAATAACAACCTAAAGTTCACATGAACAACCTAAATAGAATAAAATATAGTTTAAATCCCTTCCAAATATTTTTCCTCAATTTCATTCAACAGTAGATTACCCACCCTATATGAATTAAAGGACCCACTTACTGATTGTGAGTCCTTTGTAAATTCATGGTCCCGCAAATACCTTGACTTGTAGAGGTATAAAAAAAGTTGAAAAATAAAAGGTAAAAAAAATCAATAAATAAGGATTTAGTAACTTAATTTGTCTGTCTTAATATTTTAATTTTGTTAGAAATATATTTGGTGTTGGTATTGTTGACCTCATAAGACCACCTCTCTCCTTTCTCCCTCTTTTGCATGAACCACCTACTCTTAATTCTGTTCAAGGGGAATATAGTAACAACACATCTAACATTGCAGTTTGAACGTAATACAATTAACCAGTTTTCAGCATCTCACCTACCCTCTCTCTCTCTTCCTCAGCATAACAGAGACAGTTCTTGTTTAGATTGCAAGAAAAATGAATGGGAAAAAAGATGATCGACCGATGAATATATTGATTCAACAGATACATATAGACTCTAACCTTACCTAGAACTTAATTAGAGATCATATCTTTTTGGAAAGCAAATAGTTTTATGAATCCAAAGATAAACATATACAACAAAGACACGTACAGGAGCTCTCCAAAGAGATAACAACACAATGACTCAGGTCTATCTTGAACATATCATGGACAGAATGACCCAAGTCTTGATATTAAAGTAAGATTTAGGATTAATTCTTACCAGATGATAGCTAGTAAGCAATGCATTCAAGAATTATTAGAGAAAAAAAGAAGTAAACAGACCTAGAATAAGCGCAGCAGGCACCCAACCACCAGTTTTTGTCCTGTCAGCAGGGAAACCCTTGTGGTCTACAGCATCAGCAACTGTCGAACTCATCTTCCCTTCCTGAGAGAGAGAGAGAGAGAGATTTGTAAGTTATTGGTCATGTATCAGGAGGACTCAATTTGAAATTAATGACTAATGAGGCTTACTACTAACCATTTTTTCCAAGACTTAAGCAGGAAAAGGAGCTTGAAAAGCTTCAAAGGAAACAAGGAAAACTCTTGAAACTTCTGTCTTCTATATTCCAAGTTCCAACTTATGGTTTAGATATTTTAGGATCTTGCCTTTTATAGGCAAAGAGAAGTAACTTATTAAAGCGGCTCTCCACTAGCAAATTGAGACAGATCACTGTTTGTTGGGATCAGGCTCATCGCATTTTCGACCGAAGGTAGGACTGATTTGATTGTTTTTTTAAATTTTTTTTCTTGTAGTAGACATACTTAAAATGTAAAGTTGATGTTGATATTTTCCAGCAGAAGATCAGATGAAAAAAATGGAATCTCAAACATGCAATGTCAGTATTTGCTACAATTTGGGCTCGTATATAGAAGGACTTAAACCAACCCTAAAAGCTTAAGCTCGAGCTCAGAATGACTGATTTGTTTCTAATCGTTTTGTGTAAATGCTATTTTGTTTCCAACCCTACTCAACATGGGATTGCATTTTCAGCTTACATGTGAGTTTGTAATGGTAAAAGCTTCATTCTCATCTCTCTTTTGGATGGTAAGTACATGTTTTGGTCATGGAGGCTGTGAATGACAGTGAGTTCTAAGTGCTTTTGCAACCCCACAAGCAAAAGTTTCCAGCTTCTGGTTTCCTCCATTGTCTCCGTATGGGCTAAAAACAGGAGAAACAATAGAAAATTGTTGAGCTGCTTGGAAGGCTGATCCACCTCTTTAACATTTGACATGAAAATCATGTTATTACAGTGTCTAAGTATCTACCCTCCCCGAAAAGTACTGTCATTATCAGAAAAGTATAGTTTCAATGGAAGTAGTGATCAAAGAAGTGTTAAAATGGGCAAGGTAGAACCTGGAAAGTATTACGGCTATGTCTACATGATAAGATATTTCTTGACCATTTCTTTGCTAAGGCAAACTTTGTTTTCTTATGCGCATAAACTAATATTGTGATTTGAGCGTCATAAATTCAGTCACCATAATATTTGTTTTATGTGCAGAATAGAACTGCACAAACACTACAAGAAAAAAAAGTTTTTAGTAATAAAGTACTCTCGTAAAAATTTTATTTGTCGTCACAAATATTTTTTGCGGTGGCATTGTCTCGTCATAATAAATATGGTCTTAAAAGGTTTTTACGGCAGTAACGGACTGTCTCAAATAGTATTTACGACGGCAAGATCCTGTCGTAAATAAGTTATCACAAAAAATCCGATATTTTTGTTTTTATCACGGTAACAAAAGTGCTGCCTCAAATACGATATTTAGCTATCGCAAAAAATAGAAGATATATTTATAAAGACAACGATGTCGCCACAAAAAAAAATTAATTTTTTTTTAATTATTATGGACCGTGTTTAACCAATATTATATACCTTGTGCATATATACACTTCATATAATTTTATTTATTTTTTTGGTGGGGAAGGAGAAAGGGGACTTGAATATTTGACCTCAAGAAAGCAAAATTTTAATAATGTAAGGAGTACTATTAAACTAAAGACTCATTCGTATTTATACAACTACCCAATTTAACATATAGATAAACACAAAAGTAAATATAATTAATATTTCTAAAAACATAACAATATTTTTATATCTAAAAAAAACAATGCCACGAGTTAAACAAAATGTAAACTATGCATTTTTATAAAACATAACGATCTATGAATACAAAAAATTAATGCAAAAATTTGAACATCTTTTCCGAACCATCTACTCTCTCAGTGACATCTGAAAAAAAATATAAAATTATTGTTACAATATTGAAATAATATTTATATACATATATACAATAAAAAACTAAAAAAAATTAGAATATACATTAATAGAGGGTCACACAATATTTCTCTGAACAACTTGTCAAATTATGTAAATAGTATATAAACTAATCATATCGTATACATTTCTTCTAACATGTTTCACCAATACCTGATTCGTTTAAAATTGTATCGTGACGGGTTCACTCGTTTACTAACAGGTGATTTAAGGAAGCTTCAAACCCACTAATTTTATGTCGCGTTAACGGGTTGTGTCATATTTTGGCAGCCCTAGTTTTGATATAAAAACTTGACTTTGTAAAGTTTAATTTTTTTTTCTTTGAATTAGAAATTGTCTTTTGATGTTAAATTACGTAATTTTATAAAATATTACTTGTAACATGAAAAATAGTTGTGGTCAATACTAATTTTTTTTAGAGATTTTATTCTTTAAACTATAAAATATTTTTTAATCTAAAATAACATTTTAATGTTTTATGAAATATTATATATGACGGGAAAAGTAACTGTAATAAATATAAAAAAAAAATTTAAATTTATAAAATATTATTTGAGATAAGAAAAATAGTTGTCTCAAATACAATTTTTTTTTTAAGTTTATAACACTATTTACGGCAGAAAAAATAGTTGTCACAAATATTAACACAAACACGCTTTTTGTGACGGCAAACACAGCCGCCAAAAAATTTGTCTCAAATATATTTTTTGAAACGACAAACATAACTGCCATAAAAAATTTAGCACAAAAAATCCTTATTTTTGTAGTGAAATTTGATTTTTTTTTTTTTTTTGTTATATCTGATCCACTCGTAATAACGGGGTCTCGTGTATTTGCTGTGCGGGCTTGATCCTGCACGATATATATAAAATATTGGGAACAGATCTCTCCCCTGGTGAACTTTGGGTGAGCCGATTGAGTGGCCAAACACACTGCTCGAAACAGCCTACGATCCTGGGAAAGGAGGAACGATCCTGTACGTGCGAAAGGTATTTCCTGGGACAAAAGAGAACAAGTTAGAAGGGCGCCGGAGTGTTTTCCGGCGTATCCCCTCCGACGATCTAGTCAGTCTTTGAATGAGAGAGAGGAAGGAGAAAACACT